CAACTTTTTTACATGTATGCAATCTTATCTGCGCCTGAAAGGTGCAAAACAATAATATTTTTTGTGTGATATGAAAGATTGGGTGGTGTCGATGTAAAAATGCAAAGTATAGGTGTTAGATATGTAATATTGTAAATACATAATGTTATGGTATAACTCATAGACAATATAGGGACAGACGTTGGAACAAAGCGGGGCAAAAAAATCTGTCTAAATCGGGAAGTTACATTACCTGGGTAATGTTGTAATCACATATTATTCTTAGAGTTTACTCCTAGGGTTATAAATAGGACTGTTTCTAATCCCAGCAGACATCCCTGAATTCTGTAACCTATTTCTGAATATTGAAAGAAATCGCCGCTCTTCTTCTGAGGACGTAGGCATTTTTGCCGAACCTCCTTAAATCTTTGTGTTCTTCTGAATTTATCTTGATTCTATTTTTCTTCGCCCTAATTTCTCAGCACATAAGAATTGGGCGGTACGATAATCTCCAACTGTAGCAACGGTCAATAATTCAATTTTCCATCTCCTACCTTTTTGGATATTTATGATGTTCTAAGCTCATGAATACTAATTGAAAAACTGAAAGCACGAACAAGAGAGGATGGGCATCAGGCCTGCAATGCAAAAAAATAAACAATCATTTTTTGCATGTGGCTGTTTACTTGTCTTTTCAGAATTTTGCAGAATTGTTTAATTCATCATTAAAATTCACAGAAAAAGAAAAAAATCTAAGCTTTTTTATATTATTTTTTTTACCAAATATAAAAGATTTACATTCATACCGCTCAAATTCTACGTATTTACATATGCAACCCTTAGATTTTAATTCTTATGCACATACCACTTCACCCATCCATCCATCCATCACATTTTTATCTATTTTTATGGGTCATTTACATGCATTCCACCCATTTCCTACGTATTACATTTTTATCTATTTTTATGAGTCATTTACATGCATTCCACCCATTTCCTACGTATTTTCATGTCTAACATCTAAACATCAAAAATATCATCATTTTAACTTTTAAAAAGTGAAATACACCTTTTCATGCATAATTTTAAACTTCAATTTTTACGCACGTACCACTTTATCTATGCATGAAAATATGTATTTCAGTTATTCATGTGATATAACTGCGAAAAAAAAAAGATGACAGACATGCAAATACGTAGGAATTGAGCTGTACATATGCAAATAACCCATAAAAATAAATAAAAATCTAATGGATGGATGACATTTTGATTATTGTTTTTCGTTGCATCTATACCACACTTTTCGGCTATTAAATCCTATTCCTTCTAACAAGAGTTAAAGGCTATGACAAAACAGAAGAGGAGAAATTAAAGGCATGTCATAGGCCCTATCATCACCTTGCCTTCTCAAGCGGCTCATAATGCTGCAAAAATGGGAAGACTTCAAAGCCTCAACTGTGGAGGAATAGGTTGGGGACCAAAAGTAAAATAAAATATGATAAATGTGTAAAAGGTTTTATGAATTTTTTGTTTACAGATTAGCCCAATTGATTCTTGCTTTATATTTTCATTCATGCAAGTGTTGCCATGATTATCGACTTTCTTCATCTCTATTGTCTTCTTGAGTACAAATAGATATATAGTGTCTGATCCATTTCAAATACAAACACGTGCGTGATACTCGTCCGACACGTGCTGAACAAACATGTCTCACGTCCAACTAAAGACTAATTAGACGTGTGTATCTGACACATATCGTTAAAATTACATTTTGATTTTATAAATAGTAGTAAAATGTTAAATTTAATTTTGATGATTTATATTGTTGTAATATTCTAAGAAATTATTAATGATCATATACTATTAATTTTTGTTAATTTTTGATTATTTATTGTTTTTAACTACACGATGATTTTCATAGTTTTTTTACTTTTTCTTTACCTACTATTTTGATTTATAAATAATATGATAGTCAATTATATTCAAGCAAATAACTCATTATGTTATCATTTTCCATTATTTTATGTTTATTTAATAATGTATAAATA